GGATTTAGCTCAGCGGCAAAAGCGCCTGCCTGGCAAGCGCAAGGTCGTGAGTTCGGTTCCCGGTACCGGAGAAAAACCAAAAAAAAAAAAAAAATTTGTGAAGTTTTACTTCTTAAACTATGTACTAAATTTTCTATCCAGGTATTTCAGATGAAAAACAAAATGTTGACAGTTAAAGCTTTGTCACCTTTCATTCTAAAGTGGCTTCTGTCCCAAAGGAAAAAGACATTGAAAAGCAATGGTCTATATTTATAAAGACTATGTTCAGATTCCCTTCAGTTTTCTTAATTACAAATTTTCTACCTATGTAAAATACTGACAAACATGCAAACTTCTGCAGAGACAGTATTTCACTGCAGGTGTACCAGGTTACTGGTTTTATCTTTTCCCTTTATTTTTTCCCAAAGCGTAGGTGTATGCTGATAGTATTTCTTACTTGATTCTGCCAACTTTTCTTATAGCTAACATAATGCAAAGACTATATTTAGTGCAATCATTGAATAAACTAATGTGATTCTGTCTGTGGTTCTGTATGGAATTTTTATAATTCCAAAAGCAATGTTTTAGACCTCCTGGAAATCCATATCAAAATAGCTATATGATTCTGCCAGTGAGGTGGAAAAAGTTAAAATATTTGTGTTTTTCATGCTGACTTGTTTTTTGTTCATAAAGGAATCGATCTCATATGGCAGCACAGATGCTAAATAAATGAAATGGTCTTTCTCGGGTCCCACAGCTTGCCCGCGTTCAGTAGCCGATAACATCATGAGCACCTTGTAGGGTGTCGAGCGTTCTATAGGGTAAGCATGTGTTCCGTTTATCACTGTAAATATTGAAGCCAAAATTAATTTCTGTGAAAGCTGAAATTAAATGTCAAAGACAACTAGTCAACTTATGGTGAGAGTGTTTTCTTTCTAATCTGCTGCTAACGGGTTTGTTTCTGGTGCTTTTAAGTGTCATCAGGTATCTGGCCAAGAGCTTGTCGGTAGACATCCTGGACCAGTGAATCTGTAAGGTGGCATTGGTGTCCTTTTCTGTATTAGGAGGCCTGGCGAGTGATCACAGTAGTTGCAAAGACTCCTCCCAGGAGGGTGGTGGGTACAAGGGTTGCCCACCAGCTCTGAAAAGAGATGTGTGTGAACCCTCGATAAGCACTGGGGCGTACAGAGCCAGGAGCAGTGCCCTTCAAGGCAATCACAATCCGTGGTCAGGCTGGAATCCACAGGGTGGTGTGGTCAACTTGAGCAAGGGTGTTGTTTTTTTAGTAGAACATGTCCTAATGAAGAGGCATGGGATGTTTACTTTGATATTTGACGCTAAAAAACCTTAACCACTATACGAAAATGTTCTGTTCCTGAGAAATGCTTCTGTGGATTGGAAGAGATTGCAAAGAGCTGTCAGATATTTGAGCACTGGATGTGAGTCCCAGTTCTGCGCATATATTGTTACGGCATATATTACTGTATATCACACACAGTGGATAGAATTGGGACCATAATCTTTGAGTCTTTCTCAAACTCCATCATACAGTTGAGCCAGTCCCTGTCTGGCAGGTTTATAGTGGCCACGTGGTTGAAATTTAAGGGAAGGTACAAATAAATACGATGCTGTATCCACCCCAGTCTTGCTGGAGTGAAGCGGGAATTTTTATTCTCACCTACTCTAGAAAGCTATTTCTCCCTAACCCAGTTGTCCTACTAATTTTCTGTCCATGAAAATACTCTATTTCAGATACAGTCACAATAAGATGTTCTAATGACCTTTAAGATCTAACATACTTATGTTCTCTGCCAGCATATAAGATACAATGTTAAGATACAGAAGTTTTCTCTTGAATTGCTTTTCAGAGCTTTGCTTTTTTTTTTCTTTCTAAAATTGCTACTTGCCATTGTCAGGTGCTTTTCCCCCATTGATTATTTTAAGCTTAAGCTATTTAACTGGGATCTTATGGATGTAGACAGTGTGTCTTGGGTCTGTCAGCATATTTGACTATCGATGTTGAGTTGTATCTGGCAGAGAACTCAGCATATGCAACAGCCTTGGATGGAACGGGCTTCTGGCTCCGAGGGCATGACACCGGGCTCCAGTGTTAACTGGGGCAGATGCTTTTCTTCCACACCCCCACCACACCTTGTACTGTTGTCTAAAGAGAAAAATGCACATTGATGAGTGAGGTAATGTTTGTAAGGGGAGTTTTGGTTAAAACAACTACAGTGGTGCATTTATTCCAAACAACAAAATACCTATGTGTGGGCCTTTGATGAGTTTAATGTATTAGCATTTTTCCCCAGCCTCATGCTGAAAAGGCTCTTAAAGGAATTTTTAACCATTTAATATTTTAAAGGTTTCCCTTAAGGGTTTCAGAATAACCTTTTCAAAAACACATACCTTTCTAGATGCAATCATCAGCCGCACGACAGGCATTCTTGCTGTGCCTCCTCGCTGTCGGCAGGCTGGCCTGTCACTAAATGTGGTGATGACACCCTGTCTCCTAGGGTTCAGACTGAATGAGTTAAAACAGGTGAAACCCTTTGGACATGCACGTCCACAGTGTGTGTTCAGTAAGTGAATGTCACTGTTACGTAAATGATAAAAGTGTTTAACTGCTTAATAATTTCCAGACTTCAGCGGAAGAGTTAGAATTCTGACAACTTGATATATTCAGTGATGCAATTTTCGGATTTCAAGAGTGACATTTTAACCTTCGGAGTTACTGGACTCCATTTCTTGCTACCCCACCTCTAGGCTCTTCTTGGTTGAAGGGTTTTTCTGCATATTGGGGTGCAGAAATGATGGATAACAAATAATTACTATAATAAAGGTAGTCTTTCCAGAATCTTAGAGTTATATAGTTTCTGCACTGCATTACTAACACCCTTCTGAAGTTCACTTTTATGCCTGATGGTGGCCCCAGCACATCTAGCTGCACATCTACCCTACCTCCACACACACCCTTCTAAAAGGACTTGTCAGACCCCTACCACAAGAACCTATAGAAGCCGGCGGTCGTGGAGCACACCTATAATTCCATCACTCGGGAGGCTGAGGCAGGAGGATCACAGCAAGTTCAAGGCCTTGAACTGCATAGCAAGACCCCATCTCCAAAAAATAAAATAAAAAAGAATCTATAGAGCCAGGCTGGTCAGACCACTAGCTATTTTGGGTATCATGTGGACAGTGTACCTTTTAGGCATGCTATTGTAGATGACATTATGTGATTTTTTTAAATCTTTAAACATTTCCTCCTTGTTCATAAATGCTTCTCTCCAAATTAGAGAAACCAAACGGGCATGGAGGCCACTCACATTTAGGAGTCCAATACTTGCTGGGTCTGGTGGTGCATGCCCATAATCCCAGCACTCGGGAGGCTGAGACAGGAGGATTGCTGCAAGTTTAAGGCCAGCCTGGACTACAAAGTGTGTTCAAGAACAACCTGAACTACATAGCAAGACCCTGCCTCAGGAAAGAGTCCATACACTGTATACATATGTGTGCAGATGTTATATTTTTGTTGATGTACTGGAGCTGAAGCGCACGGCCTCAAGGGTGCCAGACAAGCCCTGTAATACCGAGCTACATCCCTGCCCCCAGTACCATTAAAATATTCATGAAGCGGCCAGTATCCCCATTTGAGAAATGATAAAACCAAGACAGCAAAGTTAAAGCTTCCCAAATTCCTTTCGCCGGCTGTACTGTGCTGCAGGACAGTACTAAGAATGCACCTGTGCCCGTTTCCTGGTTTATTCTACAAAGACTGGGGGCTGAGGAACACAAACCGGTTATAACTGCACATGCTGTAACAGAGATAACTACCTGGGGGCAAAGATGGGGGGAGAGTGGACTTGCCTTTCTCTGCTTCAGTAAACTCACCTTCAGCACTTCTGTCATGTATCAGAAAGTCACGGCAAAGATGTCACTTGGAGGAAAATATTACTCAGAGATGTGCCTGTCCCAAGGCAATGGTGGCCAGATGACCAGGGTTCCATGCTAACAGCCCTCGGAAGAGCCAAGCCCCGCTGTTTCTATGAGCTAGATCGGTGGGTTCTCCGCGGTGGAAGGAGATTGCTTCAGAGCCCGTGCTCCCGCCTCCATTCCTCAGAATTCTTCGTCCTCCTAGACAGCAGAAGGCAGCGCATTTACTGCCGAAGTTTCCATCGTGCCCAGAGGC